GCTGCATTTATAAATGATTATAAGCAGCTGAAGCGAAAAAAGATGCATTTCACTTCTCATTTGTAACATAAGGTGCTGTCCAACTCCCACTCGAAATTACTGGCACTACTGATGCACATGCACCAGCTGGATGGCTGTGCATCTTCGAGATGCCACTTACTTTCTCATGAGCGCCACTCACTGATACGCGAAGTCCCCGATTACCGGCAAAGCCAATATTCATTTTCTCCCGATCCCGTCAGGCTTCATTTTCTTGCGTTTCGCAATCATATTTACGGGCTGGTCATCTGACGAAGTTTTTATTAAATCGTCGCAAAAAACAGTTTCAGTACTCCGAAGACCTCAAACATCACCGCTAGTCTTCATCCCTTTCCCAACCCCCAATCACAGTCAACTCACCTATCAGTCCAGCCGAGCCGGGCCGAGTTTTAGCAATTCCGAATAGTAGCTAGAGCGTCTGTTCGTGACTGTAAAAGCAGTTAATCAGTTAGACTCTCGGTCAGAGGAGCGGCGTAGAATATGTCAGCGCACTCACTGGATTGAATGTTTTGCTCATCTTACTGACATCCGACGGGTGTCTTGTGACCGTCAATGGTACCTGTGCGAGTTAATTACTTGAATGACCTTTAAAATAAGTGGGGTTGATCCGACCGCAAGTGGCGACTAAGTATGAACAGTTTAGGATCAAAAAGTCTGACACTCTGCTGCCTACATCTAGGTGCAAACAGCAGTTTTGTTAAAATTTGTTTCTTGTGCCGACTGCTCGAAGCGGTCTTGAAAGACTTGCCAGTGATACCGACATAGTACGCATATCGTAATCAAATGTCAATTTTTTTTCCAGCGATTTGGATTTGTCGATGTTCTCGCTGGAAGATCGAATTCATTTTTATGTGCAAACAGCGCTAACAATAATTCTACGATTGCAAATAGTAGAGGATTTAACTGCAGAAGACCGCTCGTTAACACAAGCAGTAAACCGGCAAAAGCTGAACAGAATTTTAACGATGTGTCTCATGGCGGTCGAAATCGATCCGGAAAACATCTTTGCTAAGTATTTTCTTTTCTGTCCAAAAAGGTACTCAAATTTAGTTCAGCGCTTGAGCAGTAGCAGTTAGACAGTGCAACAGGAGCCCAGCGCTGCCAACAGCAATAATCTTTGCAGAAAACGTCATTATTTCAGCATTCTTTCAAAAGTAGCCACTGTGGAGTTGGCCCGCATGGATAATAATTTCGAAAAATACATAGAAGCGCTTGAAAAGCTGCGAGATTACGCTTATACATGGATGGAGAGAGTTAGAGATGGGAAACTTTTCGCATTCGCTGCCTGGGGTTACCTCTGCGTAAGTTCTACCATTGAGCAGTTATTATAAACCCTGACCACCAATGAGCTCCACACCAGTTGTTGCTAATGCATTGCGCAAGAACGGTTTTTGTAGGGCTGCCGTTGCGCAATACATCAGCATTGTTTCACGCTGAAATACTTGTTTCCATAGAGCCCTGGCAGTCAGAACCTAATACAGTTCATTGAATAACCTACATAACCTTACGACAGTAGCATAAAAGCTCCAAATCGAAACAAGAAAGAAATGGGGCGGGCTCCAGATAAGGAAATGGGGCCAGGAAGAGGATAATTGCAAGCAGGGGAATTTTCAACTTTTCTTTTAGTTAAGTGTTAATTCACTTGCATTTGAAAAAAATGAGCTGGGGGTTGCATTATCCCGTAATTTTGCAATTCAAAAGCTAGCATCTCCAAGTGCTATTGTTGCTGCGCTGATAAAAATGCGCAAAACTGACTGCTACCAATGCTCCGCCCCGTAAAAACCGGCACTCGCATTCATGCCATCCAATTCTTACGCTTTTTCGCATATTCATGCAAATGCAAAAATGAATATTGCTATGTGAGGTTGTCTGCGTATGCATGTTCTTGTTTTCATATTTTCCAACCTACTCTCAACTGACTAACACTAGAAGGTAATAAGTTATAAGTTCTAGAGCATACTCTCATATTCAGGCGCGACCCGCCTTTTTTTAAAAATATCGTCCACGTATGCCGAGGTTTCAGGTACAGAAAGTTGAAAGAAAAAGTGGCGAAGTTTTGGCGGAAAACAGGGTTAGGAACCGGGCAAGACAGAAAGTAGAAATTTTACAAGAATTTTCACTACCTTTGTGTGCCCTAAAGATTTCAAATTCTGCTATCACGCAAGCCAACGTTGCACACTGCTAACCATTCAGACTAAGAAGCTGGAATTTTATGTGCATGTTCAATGCTCATATGCAACCTAATCAATTAAAATACGGTTTTAAAGCACACCTAAGTCTGAGGTGCGTGCATACGAAACTCTAATCTGAGGCTGCTGGCAACCAGACAGTTCAGGAATCAGACTAAGCAAAAGCAGTATTTTTCTGAGAATGCTTGCTGTATTTTTTGCCCGCTGTTAAGCAGTATTTTTTCTGAGTATTTTTCTGAGAATGCTCATTTGCAGGCTAGCAAACGTAAAATGAGCATTTGCTTGAGTATGTTGTGCCTTGTGTGTTGACGCATGAAATGTTCAAATTGCAACATTGCCGTAATCATTCTCTCCCGAACCGAAAAGACAGCTGAAATTTTATGAAAATGCTGCCCGAGTCAGTGGGCAAGAAAAATTTTGAGTCAGTGGACAGAAAAAAAACTTTCATATACGCTAAAGTCTTGATACGGATATGGAAAATTCAGGTTACAGAAAAGTACGATCGCAACAGCTGCACTGGTTTGCGTTTCTGGTGAATTATTCCTAGACGTTACAAGATTACAGCGCAGCAAATTATGTAAAACGGAGCATGATTTTGACATAAGGGCGCATATGAAAAGTTTCAGAGTGGTTATTACGATGAGAACCTGAGCGATTATAAGAGCTTAGCCGAAAGATTTCTGAAATATGCGCCTTTTCCTGGTTTCATTGGAGCGTATTTTAAGTAAGTGTATGAGACAGCTCGAAATCTCTTAATTCGGCCAAATAGACTTATGCAATGAAATAACACCTAATTTGCAGCTCTGTGGCAGGTCTGGCGCTGAAGCCTGGACAAAAACTGACAAATGAGCAGACGCTGCAGCAGCTGACGCACTGTCGAACGCTACTCAGTAAAGATCCTGAGAATTATCATTTATTTATAAATGCAGCTAATTACAGTTTTCAGCTGTTAGTAA